ACGTTTACAGTGATGTGAGAAAGGTATACACACTTTGATGTCCACATATTCAAGAAATTACAGCAGCTGTAGCATTTCTGTCATAAAGAAATGGCCCAATATTAATTGGACATTTGAATTAAATGTTGTTTAGTCAATATTAAACAAGGATTAGATCACACAGTAAAGTGTAAAAACAATCATCAGGCCGTTGGCCGTAATGTACATTAGCTCTATTGTTTATAATACATTATGTATTTTACCAGTTTTGCTCAAAACCATATGATTACTTGCTTTTGATACTATATTTGAACTAATTATTATGGCCTCATTGCTACTATATATGTATTTTATGTAATTTTAAAGGCTATTGTTCGCTTAGGTCTATTTTTATTACCACAAAAAATTATAATTATCCGAATAATCGACCGATCACTCGATTACCAAAATAATAGTTAGTGACAGTAGGGATGCTCCGATCAATCGGCCGATAATCCTATTTTATGACTCGATCGGTACTCACCAACTTGGCCGATCTCAGGAACCGATCGCAATTTGATGACGTCAACGCGTGACGACGTACATGATGCGTGGGGACATAAATGATTTGGCGCCGCAGTCATGTCATCGCCGGTGTGGAAATGCTATGACGTTTTGAGAAACAATGAAAAATTCGCTGTTTGTCATGTATGTTTTGCATGATTCATCTACACAGCAGATTCAGTGACGTTAGAGCTGATCCGTGCCTCACTGCACGCGTCTGCGTCGTTACGGGTCCACGACCACCGGAGCTGATCGCGGCCGCTCTAATCAGTGCTCGTGTTTATCAGCCAGCCGCGGCACGTTTCTGAAGCGGCTCTCTGCGCTGCTTAGTTAAAAATAGTCTTTTGTGAGTTGTCACAGCGTGGAGGATGGAACAAAAACACAGGTTTCCCCAGTAACAGCTGTACACAAAGCAGCGCTGAGCTCACAAACGCTGCTTTATCAGGCATATAACATGCAAGATGAAATGAAAATGACATCGAAAATTT